ACCTTTTGTGGATACATGGAACAAATGTTTGGTTTTTCTCCCTAAACAAGGACGACACCTTGCTTTCAAACATGCCAAAGATTCTTCCCAGTGACAGAAGTGTTTCTTAAACTTGATTCAGGAAAAGCAAATAATGCTTATTAGTTACAGCCTTGAATTGATAGCTGTCACTTACAGAAATACACAGTCTATAAAAAATCGCAACAGGGATAGTCTGTGTGGTGCCCTCCAGTTGCTGTGGACTACAAATCTCATCATCCCTGGCCATCAAGTATGCCGGCTGAGGTTTCTGGGAGCTGTAGTCCAAAAACATCTGGAGAGAACTGCGTTGGCTATCCCTGCTATAGAAGTTCAATGGGACTTATTCCCAGGTACGTGGATATGAAAAACAGGTTTCACCTCAGTCTCTGTGCCTTGCTCCAAATTGGTATAGACTGGTGTATGTGGAATGAGCATCAAAAACAAAGGAAAATAGGAAGCTGCAATTTTCCTGAGTCAGACCTTTGGTCTATCTAGTGCAGTACTACCAACACTGACTGGCAGTAACTCTCCAGAGATTTAGACAGGGGTCTCTCCCAGCCATACCTAGATATACAGGGCCTGGAACCAGCAACCTTCTGCAGGCATAGCAGATGTTCTACCACTGAGCTACAGCTCTTCCTCTGAGCCTAACCACTTAGGAACAAGAAGCGAAGAGAAAAGGTAAAATTGATGTGCTACTAATTGTGTCACAAACTCAACACAAACCGCCCCCCCCTTAATTAATTTCATCACCCTCACCCCAAACCCATAAGAGCAAGGATAAACAAGTGGGAAAGAGGCAAAAACAAACGTGGGAGTCAGAGCTCAGAGCCAGCTGAAAGGCACGGACTTCTAGCCCCAGGAATCTTCCATAACAAAGCCAGGCTATATGCAAACCCCAAGTACATACACACAGAGAGAGAGAGGTGTCAAAGCACACTGCAACAAGGCAGAAGTGAGGTTGTCCCCACATCACAGGACAAAAGCCAGTAAGTTATAAGGAAGGAGGCAGCATATAAAAGTTGGATACAGTCAGCTTTCAGGGAACTGGTAGCCTGTGAATGCGTCACAATTTCGGAAGGAGGGGGAGAAGGGGAAATCTAAGGACCTGCAACACAAGTTTTCAAGAGCCCCCACAATAGACAGCATTGTATACAATGACACATGCGGGTTGGGGGGGGGTTGCCTGGGGAAATTGTGGAGCCAATGTGGTGAGGTTTCCCCTGTCCTCGGGCTTCATCAGAAACCCAGACAAGCAAAAGCAGGCTGACAGGTGGTTTAGTGTTGCACTCAAAACAAACAGGATGGAAGGGTTAATGGGCTTTCCCGTGCTTAGGGCTGGCATGGCGATGGAGGGGAGGGGGTTTTCCCCTGGAATATGTGACACAGCTCCAGCTTCAATTGCTGGGAGCCTTTTGCTCTGCGGCTGCCCCTCCTCCAGCCTACCTGCCGCCTGAGCGGCAAGTCTACTAAAGTCACTGGTCCCTGAGGAGGATGTGCATGTGTTAGTAGCCCATCTGCTCAGTATTTCCAGTGTTGGCCATTTGTAACTGATGGCCTGGAGAAGAAAAGAAAGGGGGAGAGGGGGAAAGGACCACGTCTCTTCCAGTTTGCAAAGTCTTTATAGGATGGTTATCTTGAGCAGATGGTCACTCACCACAGATGAATGCCGATGGGACATTGTTGCTTCAGAACAAGGAGGTTAGTAGGTATCTGGCAAGTGTGCATTACAGACTATGGCTTTCCAATTCCATGACAAGTTCCCACGGGCCTCCAAATATCACCAAACAACAGGGAACCTGTGGCCCTCCAGATGTTGTTGGACAACAGCATCCACAATCAAGCTGCCCAAGACTGCTAGGAGTAGGAGTTTAGTAACATCTGGAGGGTCAAAGGTTCCCTTGGTCATGGGATAGCTTCTCCATTCTCGCTCACCCCTATCCCACTTGCATTTTCCTAGTAAGTTTGCCAGTTGCAGACTGCTGTAGCCTTTACCACGTTTTCAACCTCCATACCGTGAACAAGCAGTCAGATCTCCATGCCCTTCTCTTAGCAAGGGAAACCCCCAGCCCAGCCCAGCTGTCAAAAACTTCCCATAGCTGTTGCTTAAAGGGCACAGAAGCAGACGCACTCACCTCGGCATAGCAGAGCGCCCAGAGTCAAGCTGAAGGCCACAGGGGCAATCGGCAGAGCACCCATGTTGAAGAACTCCCGGGAAAAAGGTGAGGAACCGGGAGCTGTATAGCGAGGATTTGCTGCAGCTTCTCCTTAGAAGTCAAAAAGCTGCTCTTCTGAAATATTTCCACCTTTGCATTTCCTCGGGGCCAGATGGAAGTTCCTGGCTGATCACCTCTTCGCCATGATTAGGTTCTTCCTGAATGGGGGTGGAAGGAGGAGCCCCCTCCCAGCCCCCCAAAATCCCCAGAACACCTAGGCATCCAGAGACGCTTCTGTTCTACCGGATAAGGTGCAGGTGCGCGACACGGGCCAAAGGAACATCGAGGGGGGTTGGGGAGGCTGGGGGAAGACGCGGAGCACCCTCGGATCGCTCTGCAAACTTTTCCCCGTCCGCAGAGCCGCAGGTTCAAGCCCCGCGCTGCGCAAAAGTTGGGCAGAAGAAGAAAGAGACGGTCGTGGGCGCGGGGAGGGCGGAATCTTTCGCTGTTTCTCCGCGGCGTCTTCCTCCCTCTCTCTTCTATTTGGAAGCAACTCCAGGGGCGTCTGGAAAAGACCTTTCCCACCGCTTTCGGTTCTCCCCGCCGGAATCTCTGGTGGCAATTGCTCCTCTCCGTCCAGCTGGCCGCTCTGCTTCGCTGCAAAAGCCTCCGGCGAGCGCAAATCCTGGGAGAGACTTTACGAGAGACAAATCTCCATCACACAGACGCGCTCGCACGCAGAGAAAGAGCAAGCGAGCGAGAGGAGGAGGCGGTAACCTTTGGGGGCTCCCTCCAATCGGAGCAAGGGTTGGGGTGGGTTTTATATTTTTTCCCCCTCCTTGCGGGTCTGGAGTGGAAAACTCCAAGGCTGGAAGGGGGGCGGGGGGCGGGATGGCTTCCTCTAACATTCCAGAAGCAGCAGGAGCAGAGGCACAATTACTCGCGAGTAATCCCATTGAGTTCCGGGGTGCTTACTCGAGAGTGAGCAGCTCGGGCGCGTGCTTACCCGCAGGCAAGTCCAACGGGGCTCGCTGCCTTTGCGCCAGATTAAGTAAGAACGGCTCGACTTGCGGCCCGATCCTCCGCGCGTCATACCCCCGATGTCCCTTTGGAACTGGAGGGGAGTTACTCTAGAGTAAGCGCGGCTTCGGTTGTTTTGCCCGTGCCTCCGCGTACTTACTCGGTAGCGATCCCACCGGAGCTCGTGCGCTTTACTCCAGAGGAAGTGTGATCTGGCTTTCGGCCCGATCCTGCGTGCGTTTACGTGGCAGTAAGTCCCGCTGAGTTGGGGGGGGTTGTGTTACTCTGGAGTAAGTATGATTTGCTTGGCGGCCCGATCCTGAGTGTTTACTTGGAAGCAAGTCTCACCGACCTGGGGATGTGAGTAGGTGTGAATAAGCTTGCAGCCTACATATACTTACTCGGGAGTAAGCCCCAGCTGAGTCCAAGGAGGGTTTACTGTCAAGAGAAGTATGAAAAAGGTCAGAGCCTGACATCCGGAGCCCGCAGCCTTTGGCTAGTACGTCCCACTGAGCTAATAGCGTAAGTGTGAATAAGCTTACAGCTCGAGGTTTCACATGTTGCTTGGATAACACCCTGGTTTCAAATTGAACAGGATCACACCCTTGCAAATTTACCTGATACCCAGAGATTAGGTCCTTGTGGTTTCCTAAATAACTGTGGATCACATAATGGGTTGCACTTTCTTAAGAGCCAGTGGGTTGCACTTTCTTAAGAGCAAGTTCCGTTCAGATCACTGGAAAGTCTGGTGAATTGCAGTTAAAACTGACTTGTAATGCTCTCTGGAGATAAGTGTGGCGGGTATGAAATGCATCTATTGTAGGTACGGTGCAGCAGGGGTCCTAGGGCAGGGGTCTCTTCAGCCCTCCCAATAAAATATTTGACCCCCCCCCCAAGTTGATGAGCATTGCCATTCAAATGGTGTGCCTGCACCACGTCTTGTGATAGATCATGTGTCTTGTGATAGATCATGCGGGGCAGGGCTTATCTGTGTCTCCCCCCCCAAAAAAAATATTTTATTCAAGTTGGCACCCCTAGCAAGTTACATAAAGGTAAAGGGACCCCTGACCATTAGGTCCAGTCGTGGCCGACTCTGGGGTTGCGGCGCTCATCTTGCTTTACTGGCCGAGGGAGCCGGGGTACAGCTTCCGGGTCATGTGGCCAACATGACTAAGCCGCTTCTGGTGAACCAGAGCAGCACACGGAAACACCTTTTACCTTCCTGCTGGAGTGGTACCTATTTATCTACTTGCACTTTGACGTGCTTTCAAACTGCTAGGTTGGCAGGAGCAGGGACCGAGCAACGGGAGCTCACTGCATCGCAGGGATTTAAACCACTGACCTTCTGATCGGCAAGTCCTAGGCTCTGTGGTTTAACCCACAGCGCCTCCCATGTCCCAGGCAAGTTACATAGGGGTTTCCATTTCACCCATAACCCTTAAACTTGCTTTGGTTTATGTGGGCCTCCTGCACAGGGCCTGCTTCTTACATGCACCCCAAGCATTTTAGCATGGTCAGAATGTGCCTTGAAACTCTGGCGACACCCCCTTGTCTGTTTTGCTGGAGGACAGAGAGGTACATGTGTAGAAGACAGCCTACCATCCAAAGGAAAAAATGTACATTGGTTGCAGCATACACTTTTGCCTCTGGCCCTGCTCATCTCTGGCATTTGGCCCTCAGAAAGTTGCCTAGAAGGAAATGTGGCCCGTGGGCTGGGAAGCTTCCCATCCCTGCCAACCAACCGAGGCATGAGAGATATTCCATTTCTCTTCCATATTCTATCTATCCCACAGGGTAGATAAAGCTGGGATAGCTCAGTGGGTAGAGAATGAGGCTCTTAATCTCAGGGTTGTGGGTTTAAGCCCCACGGTGGGCAAAAGATTCCTGCATTGCAGAGGGCTGGACTAGATGGCCCTTTGTGGTCCGTCCCAGCTCTACGATTGTGTGATTCCGTGACATGTGGGCCAGAAGGAGGGAATGGCCATGATGCAGGACCAGCCCTGCTGTTAGGCAGAGTGTTTTGCATGTCCCACAAAAGGGCAGAATTAATCTGGAAAGAAGACTTCTTTAGTAGCTGTTACAATAGGAGTATAGCATCTAGATCAAGGGAAGTAATAGTGCCACTGTATTCTGCTCTGGTCAGACCTCACCTGGAGTACTGTGTCCACTTCTGGGCACCACAGTTCAAGAAGGACACTGACAAACTGGAACGTGTCCAGAGGAGGGCAACCAAAATGGTCAAAGGCCTGGAAACGATGCCTTATGAGGAACGGCTAAGGGAGCTGGGCATGTTTAGCCTAGAGAAGAGGAGGTTAAGGGGTGATATGATAGCCATGTTCAAATATATAAAAGGATGTCACATAGAGGAGGGAGAAAGGTTGTTTTCTGCTGCTCCAGAGAAGCGGACACGGAGCAATGGATCCAAACTACAAGAAAGGAGATTCCACCTAAACATTAGGAAGAACTTCCTGACAGTAAGAGCTGTTCGACAGTGGAATTTGCTGCCAAGGAGTGTGGTGGAGTCTCCTTCTTTGGAGGTCTTTAAGCAGAGGCTTGACAACCATATGTCAGGAGTGCTCTGATGGTGTTTCCTGCTTGGCAGGGGGTTGGACTCAATGGCCCTTGTGGTCTATTCCAACTCTATGATTCTACAATAGGTGGTGGTGTGTATCTAGTAGTGGTGTGGTCCCCATTATGGAATGTACCGTATTTTTCACTCTATAAGAAGCACCAGACCACAAGACACACCTAGTTTTTGGAGGAGGAAAACAAGAAAAAAAATATTCTGAATCTCAGAAGCCAGAACAGCAAGAAGGATCTCTGCGCAGTGAAAGCAGCAATCCCTCTTGCTGTTCTGGCTTCTGGGATAGCTGCGCACACTGCATTTGCTCCATAAGATGCACACACATTTCCCCTTACTTTTCAAGGAGGGAAAAAGTGAGTCTTGTAGAGCAAAAAATACGGTATTTGCTCCAGCTCAATTCAGAATTCCAGACTGATTCAGGTCAGCCCAGGATTTACCCAGAGTAAGTTGAGGTCAGTTTGTGTCCTCCTGGAAAGATCCAGAGCTGTCAAGGTGGGGCAGGGGGGCAGTTGAGTGGCGAGGGATTAGGAGAAAGAGATGCATGCAGTAGACCAGGGGTCAGCAAACTTTTTTAGCAGGGGGCCAGTCCACTGTCCCTCAGAACTTGTGGGGGCCAGATGATATTTTTTTTGGAGGGGGGGATGAATAAATTCTTATGCCCCACAAATAACTCAGAGATGCATTTTAAATAAAAGGGCACATTCTACTCAAGTAAAAACACGCTGATTCCCGGACCGTCCGCGGGCCGGGTTTAGAAGGCGATTGGGCCGGATCCAGCCCCTGGGCCTTAGTTTGCCTACCCATGCAGTAGACTGTGTAGTAAGTCTGAGTAAACTGACAGCATGTTTACTCAGAGGATTAAAATCTACTTAAAGGCTGTGCCAGGCCCGGATCCTGGTCAGGCTATCCTGGGTCAGAGATTGCATTTAACATGTGTTTGAAAGACCAGACCAGGCCCCAAATCAGATAAAGGGACATGGACAGTCTTGGTGCCCACTAAGCCATGTTTTAGGAGACTTCAGAACAGGAGTGGTGGACTTGAAGCCAGGGCACTGAATGTGGCCCTCCAGGCTGCTTTATCTGGCCCCCAGAACTCTCTCCAGATCACACCCCTTCCTGGCCCTGCTCCCCACTCCCAGTGTTCTTGCCTGGTTGGAAATGTGACCTTGAACTCTGACAACGCCTCTTCCTTACCTGGGGAGAGATGAGAGAAAGGTGTGTCACTGTGTAGAAACTAGTCTACTGCACAAAGGTAAAAATTGACATTTGTTGCTTCTCTCACATTTGTCTATGTCTCTGCCCACTGCTAGCACAGGGCCCCTGAAAGGTTGTCTAGAAAGGAATGTGGCCCCTGGGCTGCATAATGGGGGTGGGCCGAGTTCCATGGCCATACTTTGGAAACTGCTTTGAGGAACCTGTTAGGCTGGGTACAGCATTCAGGGTAAAAAAGAACGAAATTTCTTTCTAGATATTTTGTCACTCAGCGGTTTCTGGAGTCGAGGTCTGTGTCATGTTATTAAGTGCAAAAGGAGAGACATAAAGAAGTCTGTGGCTCTTGCTTTCCTGAGTTTGCTATCTGACTTGAGGCGATGTAGCTGCAGGCAGAAACTTGAATACATTTCATCTTGCTCCTCTGTTAACACACACAGAGAGACAGACTCACTGGTCATTTTCCATTTATGACATAAAATAAAAATAGGCTAGCAAGTACCATCCCAAAAAAACACAGGGAAGTAGTTAGATATTTATTTGACATATTTTTCATCCCATCATTTCAGACAAATGCAATTCAGCATGGCTCATCTTATGCCTTCCTGCTTTAGATGGCAATGTATATTTCTACATTTAGGGACGCTCCAAGGCGATGGTTGTTGTTGTTTTTCTTGGTGGGGAGAGGTCAGTGGCTTCTGAAGCATGTCATTGATGGTGGATTTATACATCAATCCACTTTTATTAGCTGTTCTGTGGAGCTTTCCCATTGCTACCACATCATTGTTGTTTGGAGAGGCACAACAAAAGTGGGACACACATGGCTAAGGTACTACTAGCCCCAAAATGGAAAGATGACAAGACACCAACGAAAGAAGATTGGCAAGCAAAATTGATGGAAAATGCTGAGATGGCGAAATTAACAGGGAAAATTAGAGATAAGGACAATAGGTAAAGGTAAAGGGACCCCTGACCATTAGGTCCAGTCATGGCCGACTCTGGGGTTGCGGTGCTCATCTCGCTTTATTGGCCGAGGGAGCCGGTGTACAGCTTCCGGGTCATGTGGCCAGCATGACTAAGCCACTTCTGGCGAACCAGAGCAGGGCATGGAAATGCCGTTTACCTTTCCGCCGGAGCAGTACCTATTTATCTACTTGCACTTTGACATGCTTTCAAACTGCTAGGTTGGCAGGAGCAGGGACCGAGCAATGGGAGCTCGCCCCATTGCAGGGATTCGAACCGCCAAGCTTCTGATCGGCAAGTCCTAGGCTCTGTGGTTTAACAATAGAGACTTTTAAAAGGATTGGGAACCGTTTACGACGTACAGTCATACCTCAGGTTACAGACGCTTCAGATTGCACTTTTTTGGGTTATGGACATGCTGAAACCCGGAAGTACCGGAACAGGTTACTTCTGGGTTTTGGCACTCACGCATGCGCAGAAACACTAAATCGCTCTTTGCGCATGCGCAGAAGTGCTGAATTGCAACCTGTGTGCGCACAGACGCGGCGCTGCATGTTGCGAACGCTGTGGGTTGCGAACGTGCCTCCTGCATGGATCACGTTCACAACCCGGGCATCCACTGTACTTACAGAAATATTGTAAAGAAGTGGACTCACTAGCAGGGTTTGAGTAAACACTTACATTTAAGAAAACAAGTACAAAAGTTAATATGCAACATTTGGGGAAAAATAAAGTGTAAGAGGTAATTTGAAAAAATGTGCTATAAAAACGATAAGAATATGATAAAATTGAATCAAAATTAAAAAAAAATCCCTTCCAGTAGCACCTTAGAGACCAACTAAGTTTGTTCTTGGTATGAGCATCATGTGCATGCACACTGTGTATCTGAAGAAGTGTGCACGCACACAAAAGCTCATACCAATAACAAACTTAGTTGGTCTCTAAGGTGCTACTAGAAGGAATTTTATTATTTTGTTTTGACTACGGCAGCCCAACACGGCTTCCTACCTGTATGAAAATGAAAATATTATAAATATAAGGTAGAATAAGACAAGCAGGAGAAGCAAATATTGTGGTACCTTGGTTCTCAAACGTAATCCATTCTGGAAGTCTGTTCCAAAACCAAAGCGTTCCAAAACCAAGGCGTGCTTTCCCATAGAAAGTAATGCAAAATGGATTAATCCATTCCATACTTTTAAAAACAACCCCTAAAACAGCAATTTAACATGAATGTTGCTATCTCACAAGACCACTGATCCATAAAATGAAAGCAAAAAACAATGCACTGCAGTCACACAATCAATCAATCAGTAGCTGAACTGGGTTCCACACAGTCACAGAAACAAAAGAAAAAAGAGCCGCAAAAACAAAAATGCAAAATAAATAGCAAAAACAGACAGACTTCAGTGTAACCCTCAAAACGGAAGTGTGACACTCAAATCGTCAGAGTAACACTCAAAATGGAAGCCCAACACTCAAAACGAAGCACGTTTGGCTTCCGAAAAAAGTTTGCAAACCAGAACACTTACTTCTGGGTTTGCAGTGTTTGGGTTCCAAGTTGTTTGAGTACCAAGGCATTTGAGAACCAAGGTACCACTGTAACTGATATTCTGGGGCACCCTGCCTCCGTGCACTCACCATTAAACAAAACACATATTACATATTGCTCAGGGCTTGGATGGTATTTCTCATTTTGTTCCTTCCCCACACTCCACAATATTTGGCTCATCAGTTCAAAACAACGCACAAGATTAATTGCCTCCCTCCCTCCCCACCAAGACACACACACACACACACACACAGGCATCTATAGTTCTGTGGCTCCTAAACCACTTCCCTAAATATCACATGGGAGAGATGCATAATGAAACATTCTGAACTGTGCCCCCACAAAAACCAGGACCTATCACTTTGTGATGTATAAATCCTCTTTGCAAAGTCTGATACCCATACTTCTGGAGTAACTTTGTGTCTTGCAATCCCGAAAGTGCTCTGATTTGTTGATTCATAATACGGAGTTGGTTGTTCCTAGGCTCTGTGTGGGGTCTTGTCCTGTTTTCTTTAACCGTGTGACTTTTTCACCCTGTCTCTGAAAGAGAAGAGTGCATGCAAGCATAAAC